GCATAGACGCAAACAAGAGCCAGCTAGTTGGAATGTTCTCAAATCAAATCACTGAAAATAGTTTACTTTGACAGGTTACCAACTGATCTTCCAGCTGATAAACAGGCAGCAAGGGGCTAATAAAGAGTGAGCACTAAAATAAATAGAATACCATTTAGAAAGAAATACCATTTACAGTTAAGTCCAACAATCAATCTACAAAATGCTTCCTCAATAAATCTTCTGTTGGAAAATGATTTCATTAGGAGACCACGGAACATCAATTATGTCTACTAGCTAGCAAAACTGAAGTACTCATTTTGGTGACAAAATGTGAAACCGATGTTGCCTAACCCTATCTCACATTGTTATGAACAGCTTTAAAAGACAAACTGCTGCTGCATTATAGTGGATCAGGACAAAGGTCACACCTTTAACAAATAATGAGATAGGGATTTTAGGCTCTCTATGTTCACAAAATGTGTGTTTCATTGGTGTGACACTGGCACACATGGCAGACAGTTCAGGCAGTGACTTGCAGTTATTATTTAAGCACTGTTATAGCTTCGGAGCAGATAATAATGATAATAATAAACTTTTTTTCTCAGAGGTCTGTGAAGGGGTGATGATACAGGATGACAGGTTGTAAAATAAGTTACTTTTCAATTCTTAGGTCAGTGTGAACACTTAAAGAGGTGGTATTATGCTCATTTTCAGGTTCATAATTAGGGGTTGTACCAGAACAGGTTTACATGGTTTAATTTTCAAAAAACACCATATTTTTCTCATACTGCACATTGCTGCAGCACCTCTTTTCACCCTGTGTGTTGTACGCTCCTCTCTTGACCTACAGAGTTACTCGTATAAAATATTTGTTGGGAGTTGCACATGCGCAGTTCCCAGGTAAGGACTACTAGCCAATCAGAAGCAGAGAAGGGCGGGTCGTAAGAAACAAGGTAGTGTGATCCAAATCAAAGCCGCTTCAGACTGTGACCGTAACCTAGCAGATGGTATATGTTACTCCAAGTCCACAACATCATTGTTCCACATCTTACCATAAACCACTACAAAAATCACCATATTTCAACTCAATTTTACATAAAAATTGGCCAAACAATTTGAACGTTTGCTCAGTAGCTTTCACATCAGGTGTAACGTTAGTATTATAGCTATAACTTTAGCTGTGTTAGCCAACGTTTATGACAACTTCGCACTCGAACAGTCTGTGAAGTTATATTGCCGCGTTTATTTTAAATATAATTCACAACCAATAAAGCATACTTACAGGTTGTGATTGTGAATTTCCAGGCCCAAACAGAGTCAGAGTCGCATCGTCTTTTAGGACTAAACGTTGAACTGTTGCCGGTGTTCTGACGATCTATGCTGCCTTGCCGAAAAATGCTACCAAATCGATAGACTCGACTCTGCTCGGCCCTGCTCCATTTTCCACACACAGCTGCAGTGATCCACACAGCTTTCTGTTTTTTAAGTTAAAACGTTTCAACATTCCTCAGAATGTAAAGACAGATAAGCGGTATGAAAACCTTCCAGCTGTGTTTTCCTCTGCCGTTGTTGCTGCAGCGGTCTGTGTGACGGCGGGAGTAGAGGGTTCTGTGAGCGGGCGGCTGGCCGGCCTCACACGCTCCTCCCGCGGGTCGGTGCAGGCTTCCCCTTGCAGCCACTCGCGGAGCTCCTCAACTCATTATTAAATATTCAAGCATATTTTTGTTCCGCCATCACTTCTCGTAAAACTGTCAATATTTGAAATTTACACAGCTGATTTCTCACCTCAAAACTTCTCAGAAGTGGATTTAGTGATGAAATTCTATACGAAAACTGTAAAACTGTCTGTTGCTGGCCTCTGTCTGGCGCACGCAATGATGATGCAGTGAATATTCTCTCTGACCAATCAGCAGTCTGTCATGTTTTCACGCTACATTTTAGTATCCCTCAGCTCGCTTGGAACCTCGACGGAGGTGAGGTGATATGAAAAAAAGTACCTGGAAGCAGGTACAGGTACAACATTTCTACAATGGAAACCCAAACAAAGGCGAGTCGAGCCAAAGGGCCTCCGCTCAGACTAGCTTGGTTTGAGGGCGTGCCTGACCCCGCTAGCCGCTTGGCAAGCTTTATGACGCGTTTTCATTGTGATGTCACAAGTAAAGGAAGTGAAGGGCTGGACTAGAAACCAGCTGTTTTCAGGCAGTTCAGAGCAGAGCTTTCTGTGGGAGATGGGAACTCCCTTTGGGCTGGACTTTGGGCTTTTTCACTTTGCAAACCTGTTACATGCACAAAAAAGAGATATAACTCAATTAAGGAGAGGGAAAAAGACAAAAAGCAGAATACCACCTCTTTAAGGATGCTTTCACACCTATAGTTTATTTCAGTTGGTCCAGACAGAAAAGAAAGAAGACAAGGTTTGTTTTTAGTTCTCGTTCATGTGATGTTCATGGTTTCTTAGAAAGGAACCAAGTTGAGTAAACATGATGTCACATGCGTTGAATGGCTACTCATTTATTGGACAGCTTTGGCAACTGTCATCCAGAATCATCAGCACATTATGGACCCATGACAGAAACTATACCGTACATAATAATGGGGAACTGCTAAAATACATGTAGTAGAACAAGTAGACATAATAACACATCTCTGTATTAACTCCCCTTAACGTATCAGGGAATAATCCCCACGCTGACAATTATGTGTTACCATGGTGACCAAGTGTTCTTGGATAATTACATAGATCGCATACAGATTGCCTTGTTGACAGTGTCCATGATAAGGAAATGGACTAAATAGTAGCTTAGCACCTGAATTCCTTCTAAAGTCGCATTTAAGAGATACTTCAATCTCAGTACTGTCACACAGTTTATCTGCTTTGCTTTCTCCATAAAGAAAATGAACCTGAGTCACATTAGAAGCTTTTCAGGTGGTCCCAGTCCAGTTTTTTGACAGCTTTCAACCAGCCTAAACAAACCCCCCAAAAAAGCAAACTGCACCTAACAGATTAGGTGTGTAACCACCTAAACCAAACCAACTACATGCGTGAACAAAGCCTTACAGTCCATCAGCTTCTCCACGAAGGTTACTACCACAAGCAACATGAATATCCAAGTTGTTACATTACCATATATGGACATGATCTGGCTTGTTGCTAACATAAATAAAGCTCCTGTACATAGATCAAAAATACTGTAGCATTGCATTCCTCTCTATCTAAATGTTAAACTGACTACTGTCAGTTCTCTGAGATGTCACTGCACATGTAGTGCCAGTGAGCCAGGTCATAGAAGTGAGTCTATTAGCATTTTGGGAATGCGCAACTGCATAATTAGTAGTCTGTAAACTGCTTGTCACTAACATGTAAAGGTTTGACCTCTGCACGCTGTCTTTGGAAGCTGCAGAGAGAGGAAGCTCCATTCTTGAAGGCTCAACGTCTTGAAGGGCAGAGGAAGTTGCGGCAGCTTCTACCATTTTGTTGAGGACTTCATAGTCTTCATCTGTAAGAAGTCATACCTTCTCTGGCAGCACTGATTAGCCTTTTTCATGCCAAGAAGTTAGAGTTGACATCCATCAGCATCTGTTTGCAATTCACTGGAGAGAATTAAGCATTTTCTCTTAAAAGGCCTCTGCCTTTTAGGTGTGCTGAATATGCAGTGAGAGAGACAATCTCCTCTCCTCATACTCCTCTTCACCATCAGAAACATTGTGACGATTGGTGACTCTTAATGAGAGTAAGTTAAGCACTTTGAAAAAAGATACACAGCTCTTTCATTCTAATTTTGACATGATGTTTTGAGATATGTGGGAAAAGGCTTACTTACATACTGTGTGAGTGAGAGGGAGAGTGTAGTTTAAGGACATACATCTCAGGCAGAATGTCCGTGCTGGCTGCATCCAAGATGAAGGTTGCTCTACCTCCATCTCTGGGCTCGCGGTCTGCACCAGGTCCACCAGGGATGTGGCCACACTCACATTATTTCAAAAGCTGATTTTTAATTTATTTTATCTTCAACTAATTCTTAACATTGTGTTATAAACCCATCCCATGTTACATTTCAGGAGTGTATTCTGAAATATGTACATTGTTAACATTTTCTTTTTCACATATATTACTGTCCACAGCAGAACTGCATGCTGTATGTCACATTCACAGCCAATATATAATTAGATATAATTGCATAGTCAGTAAAAATACATTCATGTTTTCTATCTCAAACCTAACATTTCTACTGACAACAATATTGAATGTTTGTATATGTGCTATGAAATTGTTATGGAGTGTTCTTGAAATGAATGGATGTAAATCATGGTGTCAGGTAAGTTACAGCTTGTGTTTTACCAGTTCTTTCCCCAAATTGAAATGAGAACTACATAAGAAGTACTCTGGGTTTTTAAAGCAGTGGAGGTTAGGGTTAGGAAAGGTAAGGTTTGGCAAATGGAAATGCAATAGAGCATAAGTGTTATACTAAAGGCTTTTGGTCAAGCAGGGTTTTTAAGCTATTGCTGCTAATTTCAAAAGTATTTTTCTTCTTCGATCCAGGTGGTAACATCACAAAATCCCTTATAGCAAACCTCCCAGTGCTCATGTACAGTGCTCCAGATCATTGAAATGAAGGAATACGTCACCTGTTGCAAGAACTAGAAGCATTTAGAATATTGCTAGCCTTATCCTTAGCTTCTTCGGTCAGTGGAGAGCAGAGGCTTCACCTGGCTCTGAACTGCAACCTTGTTACTCACCACTTTAACACTGACTGTGTTAGAATGACACTGCAGCTGGTAATAAGCAAGTTGGACAGAAGTCCTGGGTCATCTTGAACAAGCCTAATAAATGGTCATTGCCTTTCCTACTTTCTTTACAGGCATGCTATTAAAATATTGCAGCATCAAATTTGGGTTCATTTAGGCAAGGATATGGACAGCAAAGTGTGTGTAGGACCAGTATTCGTGTTTCTAAATCAGATTCCTCTACCACACTGTGGCGCAGACCTGAACTGTGACATTTTGGCCTCCCTCCCCAGGAGCGCTTCAGATTGAGAACAGCGAGGAGTCAGACCAGGGCAAGTACGAGTGTGTGGCAGTCAACAGCGCAGGGACTCGCTACTCTGCTCCAGCTAACCTTTATGTTCGAGGTAAGCTCCCTCTTGACCCTGCACCCACTGTCATTCAGGTTGCTGTTTCCAACAGTAAGGTCCTCTCTTATTACCTCCTCTGCCTCCTGACTGCTAATAGGGAAACTGGTTCTCTGGATTCAACTGCAGTGAACGTCAAACCTGTTGATGCCTGTCCAGCCTCTGCTCTCATTTCTCCGCTTTCCTGCTCTCTCTATCTCCTTTTCTGTCTTGTCTTTCTCTCCTGGGTGGTGATTTATGCATTTTGCTCCAATGCCCTGTTGTTAGTTTGCTTGACCTGCCTAACCTCACAGTGACAAGGGGGATGTTTTGACTCATCAGTGGTGAAAGAGAGGTTGGCTGCAGTTCTGCCTCTTTGTTTTGGCAAGGTGGAGTTCTACGTGTGGGGTCTTTCCACACGTGTCCCATGTGGAAGAAGATGAGCATTCCCTGAAATTCCCCTAAAGCGTCTCAAGTCGTCTGGATGTGCTGCAACAAAAGCCAGCACAGTGAAAGTAGGCCTTGGGGCTTTGCATAAGTAGGCCTTATCAACAAACAACTCAATTACCCATAACCAGTGTCAGGTTCTCAAGGGCAATTTTCAAAGCATGGGAGTGACTCATTACTGCTTAGTTTCCATTGAAATGCTCTTTGATGCAGTTTTTCTTCTTCTACTTCTACTTGCTAAATACAAAATGTTCTTTTATTTAACAGTTTTTTGTAAATCATGCCTATTGGCCCATGTCAAAAATCATATTAGATCACCTTGTCTTAACCCTAAAGCATGTGAACCCCCATACTTAGATAGTCAGCTTTATTTAAAGTATAGGTTTTGATTTTTTTCAGTTATTGGTCGCTATAATCATTCCTTCTGTCCATACTAGCCATGAATGGATACCGTCAAAGAGCAACAACTAATTTTAACTACAGGTAATATACTGCTTCAGCGGTGTGATTCAGTTAAAAGTCAAAAGTCAACATTGACTTATTTTATCTTGCGTAACATATTTTACTAACATCACATAGTTTACTACCATACTTACTTATCAGCCAGAGTGAGGAGTCGGCAGTCAATAAAAGGTTTTTCAAAAATTGTGAATCACTGCAACCACAAGAGGTCCTTAAGAATACAGTCATAAATTTGAGACCAGTAGTGTTGACAGATACACACACTTACCAAATGCATGATCCATTCTGTATTAATGTATATTGTCTGCTATGTAGCAGAAGGGAGTTACAAAACAAAATTTCACTCTATAACTTGTTATATTGTGACAAAAAAACCTACCTACCTATCCCCTCCAGTCTTACGTTATTCTTCCATCCATGAGGGAAATGATTCAGTATGAACCCTGTGTAGTCGTTCTGACAATGAGGCTGACTGACTCTTCCTGGTAAAGAGGCCTATGTGCGTGTGTGTCTAGGAAATACATATGTGCAAGCAGATGTACATTTTTATTTTCTCACCAACAGATGCATTTCTCAATAACAGGTAATGAAGTGCTCACACCTGGGATAAAATTGCCTTTGAGTACAAAAAAAAAGAAGAATACACTTTCCAAGAATCTCTCAATAAATAAAAACAATAAATGAAGACATAGTTTTGAAGATATTTTGTTACTATAAAGTTCCACAGTTGTCTCAAATCTCCACTCCTCCACTAAACCAAACAGAACTGTAGCCAGCCAAGTCAGATTATGAAGTATATCATTTATAATATCTTCTTCTCTTTTCAAGGTTCTGGTCTGTGTTGCTTTAACCCCTAAACCTCTTTAGGTGTGTGGTTTCCATTTTCATCTCACAGTGTGGCAAACACTGCAACACGTGTGTGTCTTCTTTTTTGTTATGTTTGGTATATTCCTCTTCCTTTCCATCGATTTTCCATCCCTGTATTTGATGCCCCAGCCCACAATCCCTCTTCCACTCATATACACAGACTGTATATGTTGCTATTCATCTCTCAAATGCTTATCCTTCTGTATACACAACTGCAACAGTGGTTGCACCTCTTCTATTGTACATGTGAGAGAGTATTTCAAGCTTGTCTCTGTACTGTGAGTGAGAGGATGGTTTTGGTATTGGCACTAAAATTCTTTAAAAAAGGGCGCTTCTAGAAAACTGTGCATGCTATTTAATCACCATACTCAAAACATAAATGTCTGGCTTGATTTTGAATAATGGAGGAATACTCAGAGAAAATTAGAATAAAAGTAGATCAAACATATTTAAAAAGTTTCATTAAAATACAATATTGTCTTGGTTAAAGTAGTTCGATGATTGTAGTCTATATAAATTTAGTCACTGCCTGATCACACATGAACAAGTGCCGGTGTTATCAGTTAGTGGGTAAGTGGGCCAACAGGACAGTGTCCAAGCTTATCAGGTGTTCCTCCTTAGAAAGGAATCTGTTTGTAGTTAGGACTGGGCCCATGGCAAAAGAAGTACACATTTTCAAGGTGAGTGTTTAACTAATCCAATCGGGGGCTATGTTTACGTGCTCATTGATTTCAGGGATCAGAGGCTGAGCTCACCAATGGGCAGAATAAATGTGGGCAGTAACACTGTCTGCTTTGTATGCTTAATGAAGTCTGGATGTCAGCTAACCTCGGCCTCCTCAGTGCGGTCTTAATGCTGGCTCTGAAGGGCTCAAACACTGCAGTAAAGTAATGGGCAGGGAGGTGCGTGTGTGTGTGTATGCGTGTGTAATTGCATGTCTGTGTCTGCTTCTGTGTGTGTATTTGTGTGGGTGCTGACTGGAAACACTGGAACAGTCAGAATTAGATTAGCTTTGATGATCTTACTATGTGTCTTATTCTGCTTATGTAAGACTGTATCCTTCATGGAATTTTGCTTTGGGTGTGTGATGAGTGTGCATTGCATTGTTATGTGCCATATGATGTACATACTGTATGTGTGTGTGTGTGTGTATGTGTGTGTGTGTGTGTGTGTGTGTGTGTGTGTGTGTGCGTTTGTCACTGTGCTGCACAGGCTATTGTCCCTACTGTGATTTTCTCACTCGTTAATGGATAAGCAGATATTTGCCTGTTTTACTCTCTTTGTTTCTCCTTGTCTTCTTCCTCCTACTCCTTATTTCGCCCCTCTTGTTGTTTCTTTTTTCACCTTATCTTAAATCCCTCCATCATCATTGCACTCCGCCATCCAAAAATACAATCCAAATCTCACCACTCAGATCAACGGGAAGGTTGGTTTTTTCACTCTTTACCCTCCTAAAGACAAGGCCTGGCAGACAGGAGCCGTGCCGCGCTGGCATCTCGCTAGGCGCCTCAGGCCCGTCCCGGCCACTCTCTCAGGACCCCTAACCCACAGTGCTAGCCCCACTGCTACCCCAAATGCATCCCCCACCCCCACCCTGCTGCTACAGTATATGTTGCCTTGTGCCACATGACAATTTTGTGAAGTGAGCATGAGAATCACAAATACATTTCCCCACCAGGAAAGGCTTACGTGGAGGATGTGAAATGGCAGTGTAGGAAGTAGTAACTTTGTGAAGTGAAATTTCTTCTTTTTTTTTTGTTTTCAAAATAAAGAGTGACCAAACCCCAAACGTTTCCAAGTAAGGGATGTCATTTCAGGTGTTCAAGGTTCTTGTGTAATTCCTCTTCATTTTCTACACAGGCAATAGGCCTTTCTCAATACAAGCTACAACAAGTTTAAAATGGATGATCCTGGGAGTTTGAACTTGTCAAGTGGAACAAATAAGAGTAGACAATTAATGTTTCATTTATTAATGAACAAAAACAGCATTATTTCTGATATAACCAGGAGCTAAACATCCACACAGGCACAACAGGGTAGTAGAACATTAAATGCTCTATAAGAGTATGAACTTTGCCCTCAGACAAACAAATGTAGAAGTGACAAATTTTAGATTTCAACTGAGAGACCAAAGGTAATCTTCCAAAAGGAATTATATATTATGATTAAAACTCTATGGAGACATGTGTCACCAGAAAATTACCAAAGGGCTACTGAGATTAGACTGTTCTCACTGGAATGACCACAGATGCTGATTAGCTGGTCCTCACATCCACAAAAGCATTGCAAATTTTCAAGTAGACATTATTTTTGTCAAATCCATCAAATATTTCAAATCTAACTGTTTAATTCATCACTTGAAAAAATGTCGCTAGTTGATGCAAAATGCATGGAGGGATGCTTGAATACCCCAAGTCAATTCCCAAAGTATCCCAGATAAAATATGCAAAACAGCAGCAACAGGATTTGGACTGTTCTTGGATACATATACAGTATGTGTTATATACGTTCAAAAGTTTGGGGTCACATAGAAAATTCCTTGTTTTCAAAAGAAAAGCACAGTTTTTGTCCAATAAAATCACATCAGATTGATCAGAAAGACAGTGTAGACTTCGTTAATGTTGAAAATGACTATTGTTGCTGCAAACAACTGATTAGTAATGGAATATATATCTATCAATCTACCATGATTGCAAAAGGGTTTTCTAAAGATCAATTGGCATTTTAAAATGGTAAACTTGGATTAGCAAACACAACTTGCCATTGGATCACAAGGCTGATGGTTGTTGATAATGGGCCTCTATGCGCCTCTGTAGAGTCGTTAACAACATTAACAATATCTATACTGTAGTTCTGATCAAACATTTTATTGGACAAAAAATGTGCTTAGTGGAAAAATATCAAAACACTATTTATTAACATTATATTGCATTACATTTACTCATTTTATCAAAAGCGACTTACATTTGAGGAACAGCATACAAGCGTCAACAGATCATCATTCCAGAACAAGATCTACAACTGACAATAAATACTAAGGGCAGCAATAAATACTTAAGTTAATAGCACGTATGGCATCAATGGTATAAATAAGGTGCACAAGCGAACAACTATGAAAACAACCACCAAACAACAAGCTTCTGCTTCACCAAAATGAACATCAGTGTCACACTGGGTTAAATTAAATTTATTTTTGTAGCTTTTCTGTCAGAATTTGCCATCTTTATCTTCATGCAGTCAATACG